GTGCTGATAACGTAAGAGCTCAGTACTTTGATGGCTGCTTGGATATCGGACATGATATTCTCTTGTCTACAATAGTTTTTCTCGATGCTAAACTAAATACACTTCTTGATGGCGTGAATTTCGCCTGAAAGATGCTTGGTTCTAGGCACATACAGTTCCTTCTATGGTTCTTGAACCGTATACCACTGAGTAGCATGTCTTTCGGTTGCAAGAACGATGGATTCCTGCCTCCATTTTTTCGTGCAGCCCAGTTATGTGGTTTTGAAATGTTTCACATAACTGTACTTCTTTCTCATTTCATCTTGGGACATATCCAAAGTTCTTCGGTCCTGAAACTAATAGACTTTCGTCTGATTATTCCGTTGCTGATTATTTTATATCGTATCCTTTTTTACACATTCTCTATCATTAACTATAGAGTAGTGAGGTTTAAGGTCACCTCCATTGCGGCCGTAGGGCAGATCCTCATTGCACCGGTGGTGCTAAACTAATTCTGTTTCCCCAGGCTATAGATCCGTAAGTGATGATTGATCTTATTATTGCAATATACATTCATCGCATGTGTTCGGGTTACATCCCCATCGGTTACTTGCAATGTTTCTGCGTACCATTAGGACTTTTGTGGCCTTATTTACTACTTCCTTTCAAAAGGTTTCAGAAAAGTTTGTGGTCCAGGGTTAGGCCTGGAAATTTGAGTTTTCTTTTCTTCGTCATAGCCGGAGTATCTGTGGGGAATTTTGTACGGAATCATTTTTTACCTTAAAGAATATATATGTTATTTACGCTTGGAAAAGAAAATTCGTGAAGTAAAAGTTTCTTGTGATGTCATTCTCTATAATTTTTGTTTTATCTATGATTTATCTAAAATGGTCCGTATTTGAGATTTTTTTTTTATTTTTACTTACAATACCATTTTCCGAAAATAGTTTCGAACTAACGAATATTTTCGTTAATTTACATTGTTCATAATTTTTTCTCTATAAATAATTTCTCTAAAATAATCCCTAATGGAAACATTTGAGAAAAGTTAGTAATTTTTTTACTAGTTTCTTTGGTAATGAATATATAGGGATATCCATTGGTGTGTGAAAGTCCACTAACTCGTTTTGTCTTGAAAATACGAGATAATGTCAAATACAAAAGTTTTACCGTTCAAAGAGGCAGCTTTTTTAAAAATATTTTTCAATATACCCAACAAGCAAGGCAATATAAAATATATTTTCTTAATTTTTGAATTCTAGTAAATAAATTATTTTTCTCTAAAACATCATGTATCTAAATTTGATTGTTTTCAAATTTTTGACATTTGAAAATTGACTTTTTCACACTTTGAGAAGCTAAAGAACTCAGACGGTTGAAATTAGGGTCAAACAATTTACATGTTCCAACTTATTTTTCTATACAAATAATCAATAAAATAATGCTAAAAATACAGTAACAAAAATTTGGCAAGATACCTCCATCAAAACTAAAAAAACAAGTCTCTATGTAAGGCGTCTCTTGTGGATTAGAAAATCCAAAAGAAAAAGGAAATCGTTTAATAATAACTCACATTGGAAGTACCGATGGATTTGTACCAGATGATTTATTAATGTTCGAGTCAGATCATTAAAAAAAAACCAACCAACTCCTTTATTGTTTTAAATAATGTATTCTATCACAGTCAATTAAAAGAGTCACTAGCTACAACATAAAAAAAAGAATTCCTACGTATCCCCACCTCCTAGAACACTTATCAGATAGTACGAAAAAGAGGCAAATTTAAAAAGACTTATTAGCTCACCTCGAGATCCTGTCCATTTTATAATGTCTTATAGATTCGACTTCCTTGCTGTAATTATTCTGCTTCCTTAGTCAGCTGCTTCCTGCTGGTTGAATAATGGTGCAGACAAACACAAATACTAAGAAACAGATTCCAAGGTGACAGGTTTATTTTCCTAACACGAATAGAAAAATTGTTTATAAAATATAAAACATTATAAAGGACAATGTCCTTTCAAGAATAAATTAATTTTGCCTTTGGCACATTTTTTTCTTTTACAATTTTACCGCAAAAATTAAATAGAACTCGCATAGGCCTATAATAGCTTCATAAAATATGAATATTTCCCTTTGGGCAATTGCCGAAAGTATACACACTAGGTCATGTCAAAAATAAACGAAATGGTTGCAATAAGGTTTAAAAAAAAAAACAAAATGAGGATAGGTTCCTCATTGCAATCTTAAGGTAGATAATGATTAAAATACAAGTTGAACATATGTTCACGAAGTACCAAGTCATTAAAATTATTGCTACGTTCGAGGTTAGAAATATAGAATGAATAAAATTGTCATTATCTAAATTTATGTTAAAGATTAATTCGAGATATTGGTAAACCGTAACATGTAGCACCACAATGTGAGTTTTAAACTTCGTTTGCCCACTAGCGCAGCAGATAATAAATAAAAGTAAATAAAAATGTTGTGACATTAATGTCCGGATTCTTGGCCCCAAGGCCGTAATCAAGTCGTGAGTGTTGTACTTCGTACCACTTTCTTACCAAGGTTGGGAGAACCGTCTTCAAATGGAGTCCTGGGCAATAAATTACCGCCTCCACCAGTCACCGCTTATAGGGCTGCTTTTCGTCCTCGTTACTCAAGGAAAATTGTACTGGTAGGTACGGCTTTACCGCTACACTCTTTCCAATGAAGATGGCGACGTCTGAAGCGCCCTGTTGGCGAATATCGGCCAGATGTTTGGTCACCTTTCACAGGGCCCTACCACACTTTCCTTTCGCACCGAAAATGAAAATCTTGAAGTTGTGGTGCAAATCCCGCACTACACGGCAACCAAACAACAAAATGCTTTCTTATTCGATAGAACTGACCACCTACAACTCGTCCACGTTCTTTCCATCCACGCCAAAAAGAAAAGTCGCCAAAAAGAAATACTTGCCCAGTTTTTTTAAATCTCCAAACCCTTTTTCCGTTCTTCTTTTTATTAACCTAACCCTATTTTCGCAATTCACTCAGCCAACAATCAAATAAATAAATTCTTACATTCAGTTCATTCAATTGATTCAAACAAATTAGCAATCATTCTTACTGAATTTAATACAATAATTTTATTGCTATAAAATATTTCTTATTAATAAGAGAATTCAAAAGTGACTGTTGCCTAGCCTAGTCGCACAACACTTTTTTAACGGAAGTTAAAGATTCCTACAAGTGCCAACTAACATTCGAACTACCAAAAGTGCGTTGCTAAATTATTTTAAAGTTGCGTTAAAATATTTTTGTTCGTTCTAAAATATTATCGCCAAATGAGTTTTGAAACCGTATCAGAATATATTTCAATCCTTGGGGGTAGACTTACTCGTAATAGCAAGGCAATATAAAAACAAATTCAAAAAATATATTACAGACCAGATAGCCCGAGAAAAAGGAATTAAAAATTTTTAGATTGCCTCCTTACCACGCAAAGCTAAATCCCATTAATCTGATTTGGTCACAATTAAAAGGTGTTATGTTTCTCGAAACAATACAACATTTACATTACCTAAAATTTGTTTTTGAATGCAGTTTCAGATGTAAATCGATAACGTTGGAGAAAATGCTTTAATCATGTTAAAAAAGGTGGAAAATTCATTTTGGAAAGTGGATATGGCAATGAAAAACTTAATATACCCTATAACAATGTTAATGATACCAGTAATTGTAGTGAAGACAGTGACTTTTTAAGATAGTTCTTGAAATTTTTATTTTTTTTATCTTTGATTTTAGGTGCTGAAATGTTACTGTTAATTAAATAATTATTTTTGTTGTTTATTGGCTATATTTAATTAGTTTAATTTTAAGGTGCAACAATTTTATCAGAAATTAAGGTTTATTTTTAGTTTTTGTAAATAATATAATTTTTTTTATTCAAAATTTAAACTGCGAAGTGGGTATTGTCGTGATCTTATTAACATTTTAGAAACTTATTTTGCAAATGTATATCCCCACTTTTACTGGGCTCCTCTTTTATTCTGACTTAGTTCGTCCTCTACACATTTACAGGTGTGATACAACAGGTTGTACAGAATAACCGGAAAAATAATATAATAACTTTGGATAAGACAAGAAAGGCATTGAATATATCAGATTTTGCATAACATAAATTTCTAAATTGTTTCCCAGGCCCGTTAAAATTATGTTTCTTTTACTTCAATTTAATGATATGGCGAATATTTAAGGGTGGGAATATGAATTATCGATTGTTTTGCTTTAAATTGCTATGGTCCAAACATGTTCCGTTACGAAACATGTATATTAAATGAAAGTGGCCAATTTACGTAGACAGTTGGTGGTATATGAAAATCTTTTATTTTACTAATCTTAGGAAAAAAGTTATTCTCTATAAAAAGTCGAGCATGGTCTAAAACCTAAAATACTACCGTCAAATATCAAATTTTATCAGTCGTATAAAGAATAAAGGTACTTTACTCTTGAGTGAAAAATTTGATATTTGATGACTGTATTCTAAGTTTTAGATAATGCTGAACTTTTTATGAGGAATAACTTTTTTTCCTAAAATTAATAATAAAAATGTTTTTTATATGATTCCAACCTAGGGGGACATAATGTATACTCACATTACGATTATGAATGTAAAATGGTCACTCGCTATTATTTGTCCGTATTTGTTCGTAACTAATTATTTATTCTAAATGTCAACATTATAAATTTATCTGTATATGTTGTCGATTGGTAAAAAATGTCGTAGGAAGCTAATAAAGTAGCTCATTAGACACAAAAAATATATTTTAGTAGCTCTAAATACTCAATTTTGCGAAATTTGTCGCTCAGGGCCTTTTGTCTTTCAGCCATCGATATGAATAATGAAAAATATATAAATTCTAATTTCTCTCTGTTACAGTCATCAGGGACCAATGAACGACCATGCTGAAGAACACATTCGTATAGTCGAAATGAACCCTTTTGTTTACCAACAACCACCAAAACAACTTTCACTCGGAAACTCAGGACATATGGTTTATAGTTCTGTTGACTCGTTTGAACAAAATGATGGTATCAACTCTAAGAGAATGGCCACTTACTGAAAAAAATTAATATTAAATTTTTAAATATTTATAATGAATAATACTGTTAAATAAAAATTATGTTATGTTTATTGCTTTTTTATTTTGTTACATAGTATTAGTATAATATCCTCACTTGTTTGTAGGAAAGAAAAGTCGTGCCTAGAATAATGCTTTGTTAGCGGTCTTGTAAATGATGACGCATAGAAAATAATAGCATTTAAAATAAAAACATTTATTGTCTAATATATTCTAACAATTCGTTTACAGAGCAAAGTACAATATATTTAAACAAATTGATGAGAAGTTGGCACAAAACATTAAAACTAACTGTAACTATAAACATATAAAAAAAAGCGCTAATACCATCAATGATCGACACACAATATTTAAACCGAATGTATTTTAACCTACTATAAACAAAATTATAACATAGTTGATGAATAGCTAATGATAATAAAAATATATGATAAAAAATAATAATAATAATAATAATAATAATAATAATAATAATAATAATAATAATAATAATAATAATAATAATAATAATAATAATAATAATAATAATAATAATAATAATAATAATAATAATAATAATAATAATAATAATAATAATAATAATAATAATAATAATAATAATAATAATAATAATAATAATAATAATAATAATAATAATAATAATAATAATAATAATAATAATAATAATAATAATAATAATAATAATAATAATAATAATAATAATAATAATAGATAGATAGATAGAGTTTATTGACCTTTCCATACAAAATATAGTTCAAGTCATAATACAATATAGCTAAAAATATATAAATGAGAAAAATCAGATATGTAAAATATAAAACAGAAATACAATACAAAAATAGAGTACAAAAATATAATATAAAAAATAAAATCAAATATGTAAAACATAAAGTAGTAAAAATATGTCAAATATAAAACAATCTATTTTCTAAACAGTTAACACCTTTATCCTAACTTATGGCATTTACAAATTCATTAACAGAGTAGTAGCTGTTCGTTATCAAAAATGACTTTGTAAAATTAATAAACGAATTATTGGTTTTATATTTGGTGATCTCTTTCTTATGAAAGTTAATAAATTTATTATATAAACTTACATCTAATTTATTATTTTGACTCATTTGTGTTCTGGAAATGCTAGGAAGTAAGTTTCCTGCATTTCTGGTATCGTGACCATGTACATCACAGTGTTTTGTATATTTATTTATATTTTTGTGAACAGTTAGTATTGTCTTAAATATATAAACACATGGTAATGTGAGAATTTTATATTTTACAAATCGCTCTTTACAATGTGCATCAAAAGTTGCGGCATCGATAATGCGAATTGCTGATTTCTGGATACGGAAGACTTTTTCTAATCCCGCTGAGTTTCCCCATAATAAAATGCCGTATGTTAAATGGCTATGAAATATTGCAAAATACACCATTCTCAGTAAATAATTGGTTAGACATGATCTTAGTTGACGCATTGCGAACACTTGGGTAGCTAACTTCGAGCATAGTGAGTCGATATGTGGCCACCAATTTAAGTATGTATCTAGTGAAATAACCAAATACTTGGTGGGTTTTGACTTTTCTACGAGTTTACTTGAGCTGAATGAGATTTGTTGTGTTTTTTCTTTATTTAGTTTAAGTTTATTTGATGAAAACCAATCTTTAACTTTATCGAAACTCTCTGCACTTAGATGATTGCTCCCTTGTGTTGCAATTGACGTATCGTCAGCAAATAGGAAACAATGTGAATGTTCTAGTGTACTTGGTAAATCGTTTATGTATAATAAAAATAATACCGGTCCCAAAACTGATCCTTGTGGGATACCATTTATAACAGTTGTCAAACTTGATTCCTTACCATTACAACTAACATATAATAATAATAATAATAATAATAATAATAATAATAATAATAATAATAATAATAATAATAATAATAATAATAATAATAATATTAATAATAATAATAATAATAATAATTAATAATAATAATAATAATAATAATAATAATAATAATAATATTAATAATAATAATAATAATAATAATAATAATAATAATATTAATAATAATAATAATAATAATAATAATAATAATAATAATAATAATAATAATAATAATAATAATAATAATAATAATAATAATAATAATAATAATAAAACTAAAAAAGAATCTCGAAGCTGCTGGACTACATAACAGTCTCTCGATGCAACTACAGAAGGCAGTCATTCTGTCAACTTGCAACATAATGCGAAAGGTATTAAATCAAAAAATTAAAATAGAAGAATCTCTGTAATGCCTGTGCTTTGTGATATTGTATCACCGGCACAGAAACATTCAAGCCGTACTAAGTGCGTGACAAAAAAAAAAAAAAAAAAAAATAATAATAATAATAATAATAATAAT